CCAAATTATGATACCATGATTCCCGAAGATTCTTTTAACCTACTCTACAATGGAAGTGCCTCGCTACATGTCAGCAGTCGCGCCCAAAATTGGTAATCATTATCCACACCTAGTACGGGCTGCCGGATCATTATACAGTGCTAATAGATACATTAGCTAGGGGCCTCCCCCACCTCGCAATGACATGAGAATCAAGCTGGCTGACAGCAGCTGACACCTGAAGACCGAAGACCTGCAGAAGTTGTCGCGTCAGCCCCCCCTCCAGGCACCCCAAACGTGTTGAGAGGTTGCCCCTAAACCTCCCCCCCAGCCTCCCTAGCGTCCCCGCTCACATACACCAGCAAACCTATACCGCGCACATACACCACAGCACTACACCGCGCCAGAACTTCACAGCACCTACACCGCCCACATACTGCACATCACCTACACCGCGCCACGTAAACCACAGCACCTACACCGCCCACATACACCACAGACCCTACACCGCGCCACGCACACCAGAGAACCTACACCACCTCTATTTTATTCGTAGCGCTAACCACGACGGCCAGATACGCGTCCCTTGCTAACGCCGAACTGATTGCTTTCGGGATGATCGTGGCCTAGTTTTTTACTGATTCAGGGCTGTGCGGGCATTGCCGAAGCGCTCCAGGCCCCCCTCACCTGTGGGCCACCCATTCACCCGCCTCCCGACTCCCTACTGCCGGGGTTGGTGGCAGCGGCGCCAGCCTTAATTATTACTAGTAGCATTTAAAATATTGTTATTAAGTCATTACTATTGTTAGTGTAGAAGCTGCAAGCAGGCATTCATGACCTCCACAGAGCTGGTGCAATGATACACATACAACTATGCATGTACGTCAGGCAGGGACCTTCATGTATGATGTAAACCATTTCTTGCTCATAACAAGATTCAAGACAACACGCCTTTAGGTTTTGCATGAAGCTGCTTGTTAACTTCATACAACTTATGGCCAAAAGCTGCTAGAAGCAGGAACCATAGCAACCAAGCTTTGCTTTCATCATGCTTGAGGGTTCAAAACAAAAACCAAGCCTTCAGCCCTACCATTTCCTTTGCAGTCAGGCTTCTAAGTTCGCATCAGCACCGAAAAACCTTGCATCCCAATAAGAATAGTAAAGTGCCTGATGAAATAAGAGGACCGTTCTGCTTACATTCCAGAAGTCGAGCTCCCCTTCGTCTTTCCCAAGAGCAAAAGGATTCTTCTGAAGAAAAGAACAACCTGCCCATGTTTTTTATTGAGTCAACAGAGGCTGTTTGTTCTCCGTTTTCCAGTAAGAAAAATAGCTCCAAGAATTGTTCGAAAAAAACCTGCTTTTGTTTTTGGATACTTCCAAATTAGAGAGAGCACTGGAGCAATCAGGCGGCTTCGAGAGCGCTCAATTGCGCAATGCGTGAGAGCACCTATCTATGCATCACATTATACCTACAGTAGTAGTTTCCATTTTCTTTTTGATTATCCTATATAACCCCCATATAACCCCTTTATAGCCCCTATATAAACCCTGTAGGTCCCTCGTAGGTATCGATACACCTGCGTGTATGCATACATGCACTACGTGGAAGCGGCTTCTCAGACTGCAGAACTCAGAAGCAGGCCTTGGGAACCTTCCAGCATAAGGCACACCTCTGCAGACAGTTTATTAGGGTTATATTTTATTGGGGATATATTGGGATAATGGAAAAGAAAATTGAAACTACTATAGTATATTGGTATTATTATAGGGGTTATATTGGAGATATATCTTTGGGCAGAGCTTTGCCAGCTGCTTCCCGAGTGATGCCGCCGCTCTCACTACTAGCGACCACAAATCATAATCATAAAAAAATGTGTTTCGGATTCTGCGTATTCCTGCTCTTCCTCTATGAATTGGAGGCAGCGCCTCTGACAACTGCAAAATGAGGATCCCTATAATCAACTGATCAATTCGACTGGGGACGTGGGATTCTGCTCCAGAACAATACCCCTACCAAACCTCCAATAGAAATCCTGTCACCACCCTCTTGATCCTTTTGGTAACTGTAGTACTGACAGACGGCAGGAACCAGAGGATGCGGCTCCAACCTGCAGAAGACCTCCCAGGTCGTCAATGGGTGCCTTGAGCGTGCGACAGCACCGCCGCAATGCAAGCCATTCTGACTGGGGGTTAGTAGGGAATAAAGGACTATATTATGTAGGGATTGTGTAGGGAGCATATTCCCTTGTTCCCCATGAAGCCCCAGTAAGCATTGGTCACTGCCGGCACCTCGAAAGCAAATACCCGAAGTCTACCCGGGAGCATCCAGGTAACCAGCCTCGCAGGCAAGCTTTGTCTGTCTGCTTACGGGACTCACCTGGGCTGTAGTCTAAACTTGTTTAGGGATTGGGGTTTAGGGATTAGGGATTAGGGTTTAGGGTCTAAGCTCCTTAAAGGGTGACTATTTAGAGGATTTTGAGGGTAGTATTACAGGGAATAAAGGGAGATACTAGGAGTTTAGACGATGGCTCACATCCCGCCTCTCCAAGGGCCGGCAAAGCAGGCTCCAGACCTGAAACTCTTCGATGAGCTCCCAGTGACGCTGACTTCTCACGATGCTCAGCTAGCCTAAATAGCAGTTTCCATTTTCTTTTCCATTATCCCTATAGAGCCCCTATATACTATAGTAGTTTCCATTTCATTTTCCATTACCTTGCTTGAAGACTGCTGGCTCGTAAGCTCGTAATATAACCCCAATATAAACCCCAATATATACCCTATTATGATATAGTAGTTTCCATTTTCTTGTCCATTATCCCAAGATTAACCCCAAGATATACACCCTATAATCCCTATCTGATCACGATAATTCCTGTAGTTTCCATTTTCTTTTGCATTATCCCAATTTTAACCCCAATATACTATGCTGTGCTCAGTTCAGCGCCGTCATGGCCACCAAAGAACGGAAGTTGTCTATGAGGAACAGCAGCCTCGCAGGATCCACCCAGCTGTACATTCCTATTATAACCCCAATCTAGGGTTTAGGGTTTGGGGCTTAGGGTTTAGGGTTTAGGGTCTACCCTAGTTTCCATTTAATTTTCCACTTTCTTTTCCATTTGATTCTCCATTAACCCCAATATATACCACTTTACCATTATCCCAATATATACCCTATGGCACTCGGCTGATTGTGCGAAGAGAACATGTGCGGACGAGGGGGCTCTGTCAAACTGATTCTAGAGCCAAGACCGCCTCCAAAGTCAGCTTCTGACCCACCAAAAGCATTTGCGCACGACAACTACCGCAAGCTCCAAAAGAGCTAGCTTTTGCAAAACTGGTCCCCGGATATTTCAAAGCTACCATCCAGTCTCACGTTCACACCAGCCTCGTCAAGGCCTCAGGTGGAATGGCACTCCCTGAGCAGGACCCAGCTTCTCTCAACTTCCGCCACTGGAGCTGCCATCAATGCAACAAGCCTTCGTATGGACAGGCCTTTCCTTCAGTGGCAGCGGTCACCCTGCAAAATGGCAGAAACACTTGCTGCTGCGATTTGGAGCTGGAGATTCCAGCAACCACCCCTTGCAACTTTGCCTGCCTCGTGGCCAAGTCTGCAGCTGATCGCTGAAGATGCAAAAGCCATCCTATCCTCAGAAACTAGACAAGGTTGCATCCTATCGATGGCAGACGAAGTTGGAAGAAGGGCTGCTACCACTGCAAATATTAAGCCGCAGATCCCTTGCTGGGGAGAAGGCGGTCCCAAGGAGACCGTAGTTTGAGAGTGCGGCTACCAGGTACTTGGAAGCTCATTGGTAGTGCGTTACGAATCGCTAAATTAAGGCCCAAACCCAACTTTGACCAAGGTATGAAGTGAATACAAACCTTAAACCCTAATCTGACAGACCCAAAGGGCTGACACCTTGGTCTCCGGCAGGGCTAGGGCCAGGCGTCGGTCTCGCAAGGCAACTATAATTTTGCGGATATGTCGATATGTCGATATGTCTCGAAGCAAAGGGGTCCCATAATGAACACCAACACTTGGGATAATCCATGGATATCTCTGAAAATCAGGGTCCCAATTGAAATGATCTCCTTTGTGCTACTCTCCAGTGCTTACAAATATAGGGACTACTCCTTTCAAGCATAGGGCGCTGCAGCCCCCGTCCCGCCTTGACCCAGCCCGAGCACAGACGCCAAATGTCCTTCAGACACAGCCCGCAGATATGAAGCGGTGACATGTCTTGACAGCCGAGCCGGTGTGCTGTCTGAGAGGCAGTGCTTCAGGCATGCAACAGAAGCTAGGGCTTTGAAATCTAAATACCTCCTGATTAATGATACCGTGAAACTTGCACGCTGCCATTGGCGGAAAGCTCGTCCCTTAGCGGAGGCTTGGCATTCCTCACTTTGATTTAGAGCCAGCCAGGATGATTCCAACTATGGACCCTCTCCGCCACTGCGGTTCTCCATTCCAATTTGACAGTTCTTGCTACAGCTAGCATTGCGTCAGCATGTTGCACAGGAAGAATTCTCTGTTCACGGCCGTCCGACAGTAGCGGACAGCCAGCCGGTTGCGAAGCTGATGCCGAACTCCTGGCTCCGTGTCATCAATGCTGCTGGAAAAAAAGGTCATGAGTCGCTTGATGCAACCTAAACCATTCTTGCTCATCTCTTGGAGATCCGCTATCTATTAACATGTCTGTCTGTGCAACTTCAATTGGCGCTTGAAGCTGGATACGGCAGCACTTGTGAGCTCCAATTTGCTCCTCTGCAACATCAGCCATGGCAGCCTTGCATGTCGGGGCTCTGAAAGGACCTCACCTACTGAGGATCTGCAAGGATCGAATACTACCTTGGGTCCGGCTTTCGGATGTCGCTTTTGGCCGCAAAGAGCGTGCACATCTCTCAAAGACCATTTAGAGGCCCCGAACACCTAAAGCACCAAGCTGCATCGGCATGGCGGAGGAAGAGAAACGAAGCATGGTGCTTCAGCCATGTGAATTCTAACCGCACATTTACATTTCAGCTCATTCCTGGGCAGGCTTGCCGCGCTTTGCTCTGCCGGCCCCGGATTGAACCAAGACGCGGACCACCTGGAAGTGACCTGCTTCACAGGCGAGCTGCCAAGGGGTACGGCCATAGGCACCTGCGACTCCAGTGTCTGCCCGGGCACTTACCAAAGCCTTTACAACCTCCGCGTGGCCCTGCTCGGCAGCAAGCTGAAGTGGGGTCCTCCCGTAGTTGCGCTGACTGGTGACGTCTGCCCGCTGTTGAATCAGGTGTGTCACCACCTGATCAAGTTGCAACTGCCTATCTCACATCTCGCCTCAGTAGACATGTTCCCTGCCTTCCTAGACCCGCTTTCTACACCCTAAACCCTACTAACGACCGAAGGGAAGCCCACCTCTAAATGGCCCTGTTCGCAGGCCAGCTGCAAGGCAGTCCTGCTGTATCTGCTGGTGGAATTAATGTCTGCACCAGCTCGGATCAAAAGGCGTGCTCCTTCCAAGTGGCCCCTCTCGCACACGATCTGTAATGGAGTGCCACCATGGATGCCCTTCTTGTGAATGTCGGCACCAGCCCGGATAAGAAAGCTGATGATATTCAAATGGCCATGCTCGCAAGCGAGCTGCAGGGGTGTTCGGCCACTCGTGGCGGTATGGTTGACATCCGCAGCTGCTAGCAATAAGTTGTACGCGCATTTGGTGTGCCCACCTGCACACGCCAGCTGGAGCGGAGTTCTGCCGCACCTGCTCGTCGCATTGATATCTGCGGAAGCTGCTGCTAGAACTTTTGTAACCACATCGTTGCCCTTTTCGCTGGCTAGCTGCAATGGAGTCTTCTGGCATTTGCCGCCATCAATGGCAGCACGCGCCTGGATAAGAAGTCTGACCAACTCCACATGCCCTTGTTCAGAGGCTACGTGCAGGGGCTTTGTGCCAGTGGGCCGATTCACTGCGTGTCTGAAGACTGCATCGGGTCGCTGGCCTTTAGCCAAGAGCTCCTCCACGCGTCTGATGTCACCAATGGCAGTTGCCTGGAAGACTCCAGGGTTACCCTCCCGACATGTTACCCCCTCCCGATGTCACTAGAGGCTGGGGTCTCATACAGTTTCTAGCAACAACCGCACGAGAAGCCCTTGGACCCAGGACGTCTGTTGAGGAGCCCTTGAACCGTCGCCTCGGTCAAGTCCTGATCGAAGTCAGCTGTGCAATCAGAGAAAGGGCAAGACCGCACTGCAACGAGGTGGGCGGAGCTTTCAAGCTTCTGCCACTCGCCATCGCAAGTCACAGCAGCCCCGTTGCACAAAAGGGTCAGTAAAAAGGTTGGATGTCCGAGCTCTGTGGACAGTGCCAGTTTAAAGGCACGCAGCTCAGGACTGTCCTTGACTTCGACGGTTGCACCTGAAAGCAGATGAACCTTTCGCATCGAACTGCTTACACCATCATCGGCAGCTGCTCCCACATCCATGAAACCCAAGCTCGGGGAAAAGGGAACAAGTCTTTGAGCCAGAGCTGCAAAGTTCAACTGAAGATGCAAGAGCGAGAGGCAAAATGTTCCTGTAAGCAGCCAGTACTTAGCCAGTGCCCGGCCATCTGTGCCTGCACGAGCCCAAGGAGCAACATCGATGCACCGCTCCGAAGGGCTCCGGCCAGCACCTGCAAAGCTGCATCGTCAAATCAAAGCTATCAGAACTGCATGCGTCGCTTTAATAAAACAGCTAGGGCTGCTGCGTCTAGGTGACTAGCTGCAGCTCCAACCTGTGCAAAGCACAGCTGACAAGCATAGCTGTAGGTGTCTTGCATTGCAGATTCTCACAGACTCCGCTTACTCCAACAATCGGCCTCACACTGCCGCAGCAGCATCCATGAGCAAATCCTCAACGAGCAGTCTGCAAACAGCCGCAGACTACAAGCTGTAGCTCAAGCCACGACTAGAAATTGCAGCACACAAACTAGACCAAGCTATAGCCAAGACAGCTGAGCATGAACGCAGGCAACTCGACATCTGGGGCCCCTGCGCTATGACGCCGGCACCTCTGTGGACGGACATCATCGTGGCCTTAAGCTGCATTGAGGACTCGGGAAGGAACAGCTGAAACTGTCCCTGAGATGCTCAACCCATTGGCAAACATGTTTTTGTTGGTAGTGCTTTGCATCCGCGGGGGAGAGTCCCAAACCTGCGTGCCTTTCCCTGCGAGATAGCATGAGATAGCTTAACTCCGTAGATTTAATTTGCTGCATGTGCGGACCTCTTCCAGCTAGATGCAGGTTTTCTGAGGATTCTACAAGACATCATATGCTGTTGCTGTGCAAACGAAAGGCCATGGGCCAGACAAAGAACAACCAGATTTCACATCCACTGCACGCAGCTTCAGATGGGTGTATCGCAGGCATTGGTTGCCAAATGCTCATTTCCTGGTGCAAGTACTTGGCTTTTTTTCATGGGCAGGTTCATGGATGCCCACTCTGACAGATGAGGAAATGCAGCAACAGTGTCATCCTGAGGCGGGTACGCATGTTCCAGCAAAGCCAGACCTTCCCGCACCTTGAAGCTTGGATTGAACGCTCACATGGATCATATCCCGACCTACATTCCAACACAAAGCAAGACAACCTGATCCAACGACATGACATTCAACATCGGCTGCGCGACCTTGTTGCCGCTGCAGCAAGCCCTGAAGCGCCAAAGCAGGTAGACCAACCTGCAGAACAACCAGCGAGTGACGCAACGGGACACCTGGAGGGCCTTGGTTACAGTAACTGGAAGGAATGGTGAGCGCTCTGGCAAGACGTTCCATCAGCATGAAGGAAGCCCTCAACGACACGTTACAGTTTTGCAGCCAGAGTACGAGGAGCTGTAGTATGAAGCGAAGCAAAGGAATTGTTTGACACACTGGAGGCCGAAGAGACTACCTACCTTAGCCGAGGCTGAGCCATGTAATCCCATCACACCCCCTATCAAGTCCTGATGCGATCCCCAAACTACATGACCCCAAACAAGACTGCAAATCCATCTCCAAATATCCCACAATCCATTCTATTCTAGAACCCGCTCTTTAAAAAATCTACCCCTACTTGTTGGAAATCCCTGTCAGCCCCTACACCTCCCTCAGCCAAGATACCATGGCAATCGGCCCCAGGCTTCCTGTTGGATCACTCTTTTTCCGTTTGAAATGACGCGACTATGTATATGCATATATATATATGTATTGGGTTATATGAGGGGAATGGAAAAAGTGAAGGTACTGCTTATAAGGTTTAGGGATCACTTCCTTTCAACAAGTGCGGCTTAAAAATAGGGATGTTCCCCAATAAAAGCTAAGTACAAACCTAGATAATTACCAATACCGGGCTGAGGGTCTAAGGACATTACCCCAATCATGGAGAGGTCAATCTACTTCGTAGGAAAGATCATGCTACTACCGGGCTTATGAAGCTCTATCCTAAACCGTAAACCCTAAACCCTAAACCCTAAACCCTAAACCGCTGTATCATGCAAGACTGGGCTTGAATTGAAGGAAAGCCTCCATCAAAGATGACGTCCTTGAAAAGGGGGGAAAATCCAAAGAGGACAAATTCTGAATACACATGTACTATAGTCTAAACTCCTAGTATCCCCCATAATAACCCCTATAGTAGTCCCCTATATAATCCCCTATATAACCCCCTTTAAGGAGTTTAGACTATAGCTCACATAAAGAGTTATTAGGAAGCACAGGGCTCTTCCATGCAAGCATGCATGAGTAGTGTTTTTCTGGTGGTTGAACCTAGTAAGATTATATTCCTTATATAGAATACTATACCCCAAAAGGAGGATAGGATCTTACTCTATAATGGGTACAATAGTATCCCCAAAAAAAATACTATATCCCCAATAAAACCCCCTATATAACCCCAGTTTCCATTTCATCTTCCATTTTCTTTTCCATTTGATTCTCCATTATAGGGCCCTAAACCCTATATTGGGGGTACCACAGTATCCCTAAACCCTAAACCCTAAACCCTAAACCCAAATAGAATACTACCCATATTATCCTATATAACCCTATGGAACTTCAAGTTGTCATCCATAGACAGCAGATCCTGGGCCTCGCAGGAGATCCTGCAGGCAACCACCGCCTGTGGCAATCTTGAAACATCTATTGGGTCCTTCCCCCTTACAGTGTTTAGGGTTTAGGGGTCCCCATAATAAGGATTATAGTATTTTGCGGGTCTCTATTGGGGTCCCTTTTATTTTGGGAAACTACCATAGGGACATTACCCCCAATAGGTTGGGTCATTCCCTCTTACAGTAACTGTTCCCACAATGGGGGAGTTATAAGAACCCCCTTAATAAGACCCCTTTAAGGACAGTTACTGAGAGGGGGAATGACCCAAAACATCCATCTCTGCCATAGTGCCTGTGGTCTAAGGGGGTTTTATCCAAATTCGGGGTACCTGTTTGGGGGTCCTCACGATAAGGATGACAGTATGTTGGGGTCTACTTTAGGTTCCCGATTTCGGGAAACTGCCACATACAGCTGCATGTGATCGCCATGAACCCCCTGTTCTTCCTGTCTTCTCCCTAATTCTTCACGCGCAGAACGACTGAGCTGTCAAGGAGGTGGGCTGTACAGCGTGTAACTGCGTGATGGGAAACAACCCCACCCTATACAGGAAAAAACTACAAACACAATATGCTTCCAACAAACAGCCCAGCATCAGAATTACTGTTAGCAGACAGGAGGGCCTTCGGGATCTGCATTTGGTTCATATGCTGGGCATGTTGTCAATTGAGGACATTAAGCTAGCTGCCATCATGAATAAAGGGCAGATACTCATAGGCCTCAGCCAACTCCCAAATCTGGGTCATGATGCCTTGCTATGCAGAGACTGTGCTACTATGCTCTTCGTTGTAGGCATCCCTGGATGACAGCAAGACACTGCAGACCCTAAATACTAAAACCTTAGGACCCCAAATCCCAAACCCTGACCCATCAAAACCTCAATCCTGAAGCCACAACACCTGACGCCTAAAACCCTATATCCGGAACCCTGAAGGCGCACGAGAGTTTGCCTCGCCTTCTCTCATGGCAGTCCAGGGCAGGCAAACCTGGAAAGCTCTCAGGTGGGTTGGGGTTTGAAGTAATACCTTCAATAACGGCGAATCAAATGCAAAACATGTTGAGAGTTCCTCGCCCCTACATCCCAAAGCCTGAACCCTGAACCCCTAGCACTCTTGTCGTCAGTCGGTTGAAGTCGTGTTTTGCGCCTGGAAGAGGAGGGACCATGCTACCACGCCGATTGCACTCAAAGTGCAGAATGACCCCTGCGCAGCTAAGGGGTTCAGAGACGAGTACACAAATCTGAAGAATCAGAATCTGTGATCGTGGATAGGTTCTTGACTGCTTTTTGATTGGTACAAGGATTGGCAGCAGAAAACACGCCTGTCCCTAGCTTTTATTCTGGCTGCCACACTACAACGCGGAATTCGTGGCATGTGAAACAAACAGTTGAAGATCTGCGGACCTCCGTCCGCACAGCATGGAGTAGGAAGCCCAAAGCACCACTAAGTGCCACAACCTCACAAGATGTCGCAGGCAGAAAAAACATCTCAGGCCCTATGTGTAACTGCACTCAGAGTCCCATTGGCAAGTCTACTTGATTCTGCAAGCCCGCTACCATGCAAGAGACACAGCAAGCAAAAACTTAGTGCGTGGCCGGAAAGGATGCCGTATGCATGCCCAGTCCAAGAACAACTTGGCACAAGCCTTGCCAGCCCATTAGCCATTGAATTTGTACTGGCTTCGCAAGCCCTGCATGTACGCTGCAAGATTGCATAGTAGTTTCCTTTTTCTTTTCCATTATCCCCATAGAGCCCCAATATAATCCCTATAACCCCTATATTTAGGGTCCCCGAAAAGAGTCCCTATAATCCCTATATTTAGGTATCTGCAAGTACAGATCGCATGAAGCCTTGCCTTGCGTAAACCGCGGCCTGTGCCAGGCCTCAAAAAAAAACTACACATGCAGCACAAGAACATTCAACCCCTAAATCCCTAAATCCCTAGCCCTAAATAGTAGTTTCCATTTTATTTTCCATTATCTCAATATAACCATACAAGAGCAGCAGAGGCATTTTCAGCCCTGAACTTGTCATCTGGTGCTCATGAATGCAGTCCTGTTTTGTTTGAATCAAGGCTGACGAAGCCATGGGTAGGAAGCGCAAAGCACCGCTCACCGATGGCGATGTTGATCTTAAAAGTCATCAACATCCCAAGTCGTGTTGAGCGACACGCTCCACTGATTCTGTACAGGAACAACACATGACTGCTGCAGGACTTAGTCAGCCAGTCGAGTAATGTCGAGTGTGAGAGGGCCGGATGCAGAGTAAAGCAGGACAAGCAGATTTGCGGATGAATGTGGAGGATAAGGGCAAAAGCATGTTGAATTGTATTCTTTCCCGTCATATTAAAGGTGATGAGAATGATATCAGCAAGCTGGCCGCTCCGACAAGATCAAGCTCCAAGCTGGCGTATGGAGCGCGTCTCCAAAGAAGACACAGGCTGTAAGCCGACTTCGCCAAATTTAAGTCAGGTGTACGAATTCATCACTACTATGACACTGCTGCTACAGTGACTGCTACTACTCATGCTACCACATAGGCAAGGTTGTCATCGCTGCAAGTGAGGTACTGCAAAACTCTCTGGCACAACATGCCCTTGCGCAAGCCCTCAGAGAGAACATGATGAACTTTGCAGGACCGTACGTGGGGGAAAAAATAAAAACGCAGCCGACTCCGACAGACTGTGTCTCATGTCACTTGGGCGCCATAGCCATCTTGAAGTTTGAAAGCTGGATCCTCTCGGCCCTCTGCAGCGCATCAAAACAAGCTGCACCACAAGCCCTCTCCGCTCGCACAACAGGAGCTGAGCTTAAATTCTGTTTACAAATTTCCTCGCGACTGCGCCGGCCAGAACCGTGCCCAGGAGCACCAACAACCAGGGGCGGCGGAGTGATCGCTTCACCTGCACCTGTTCCATGCCAAGGAGCACACTTTCTCTAAAATCAGCCCAGAACAACATGCCAATGAAGTCCACTGAGGCTGCGTCCACCGAGTTGATTACATGCTTTGCTTTTCCCATCACTGCCGAGGAATGACCATTGCCGTCGACCATCCTTCAACACAAGGGGGTCTCATCTCATTCAAGAACTATGAAATTATGAATCAAGGCCTTGTCATTGTTGCAAAGAAGGCGGCCACGCCCACAGCATCAAGGTAGACATGCTGCCCACCCTTCGTCCTTGAACCGGCTTGCGACTGATAACAAGTTACAACGGAGCAGCACGGACAATGGAGCAGCTGCCTTGATGGTTCGTTTCTGTTGAACAAAAGCGGTGTTAGTCCACACAACTCCCCTTGCGAGAAGTAGAACTGAGTCTTAGCATGTCTTGTTTGATGCCAAAGCTCTGCAGCGCCACGGCACAGCTGCGAGTCTCCTCGTCCGAAGCCTTTGCCACGGCCTCCCCAGCAAATCCCCAGGGAACGAAACTCTCTGCAAACAATTACGCCATCCAACACTGCCTCTGCGAAATCTTCCATTTCAGCCTGGTCAGGAGCGGCTGCAAGCACCCACAAAGCCCTCAAGCGTACTTAAGCCCCAAACTCCTGCTGAGCCCTACTCTCCCTGACAGAGGAAAACTGTGCCATTGCCATCATGGGGCTTTAGCTGGATGAATTTCAGTGCTCATGCCAGAGGTCAGATGCGCAAATACAGCGTGCCCGTCGTGTCAGAAGTGGCACGTCACGGCTCCAGCATATGCAGCAGCTACCACTTCAAGGTCTGAACGGGACAAGCCTCAGACATGTTTCACGTTGCTGTCTCTCTGTCAAAACGGGGGGGAGCCCTCAGAGATCTGAAATTCAAAGGGGTTCATTGCATGTGGACCAGTCTGAGAAACTTCCACGTTGCTCGCCTCTATATATCTCTCGCGAACGTGAGCAACTTTCAGCACACAACAGGCAACTAGGGCAGCTGCATCTCGAAGGTGGTGGCTGTGCTTTGAAACTCGTGACATCCATTGGCGGGATGTAGCACACTCTCATCCAGTCCTGTTGGACCTTCATGGAATATGGAGTAAGGGACATCTTGCAGAACCTTGGCATGCCGGCACTGGTTGAAGGTTACAGTGTTTGGGCCATAGGCTGAAGAACTAAATGAATGTCGGGTAAGTACATCTATTGAGTTCTAGCATATACTATGCCCAGTACCCCGCACTCGCAAGGCCAAAGAAAAAAAAAATTCTCAGCCAGAAGCAAATTTGAGATCAAGCGGCGGGGTGTTTCCGTCAAGGTTTGCCTTGAAGTCCTTCAGTGACCAACCTGGGTTCTTGTTGAAAATCATTGAAAAAGATCCTTTTTCATTGATATTGGGCCCAGGTATCCAAAAAAATGTAAAATTCTGTTCTACAAGAGCCCAGCAACCAGTTTTGCTCAGGGCCGCCTCTGAGATCTTCGCCGTCTCTCTGTCACTCACGGAATGGCCTTGGAGCGGCATTGAAGTTTAGGATCTAGGGTATGGTACCCAACATTACCCCAATAATGGAGAA